GGCTTGCACGTCCCCTGCAGTTGGGAGGTTATGTTATCTGCTCAAGGTTGCCCAGCTGGGGCTAGCCTCTGGGCCCAGGTCTGGTGACACCAGAGACTGTTCTCTGGCACTGTCCAGCCTCCCAGCCACAGGCACACTTGAGTTTTCTTCCAAGGTACTTTGGTTTTTTTTATTTTTATTTTTTAAAGATTTATTTATTTATTTTAGAGAGCGTGAGTGGGAGGGGCAGAGTGGGGGAGAGAATCTTAAGCAGGCTCTGTACTCTAAGCAGACTCTGCGCTGAGCACAGAGCCTGACACGGGGCTTGAGCTCATGCCCCTGAGATCACAATCTGAGCCGAAACCAAGAGTTGGACACTTAACTGATTTTGCCACCCAGGCGCCCCTTGTTTTATTCTTTTAAATAGCTTTATTGAGCCACAACTCACATACTATGTAATTCATTCATTTAAGTGTTCAATGTTTTTGATACATTACATTATTTTTTTTTAAAGATTTTATTTATTTGACAGAGAGATACGCAGCAAGAGAGGGAACACAAGCAAGGGGAGTGGGAGAGGGAGCAGCAGGCTTCCCGCTGAGCAGGGAGCCCAATGCGGGGCTCGATCCCAGGACCCTGGGATCATGACCTGAGCCGAAGGCAGGCACCCAACGACTGAGCCACCCAGGCGCCCCAACATTACGTTATTTTCAAAGTATTTGGTAAAAGATACATAACATAAAATTTGCCATCTCAACCATTTTGAGATAGAGTTCAATGCATTAAGTACATTCACAACATAGTGCGACCATTGCCACCAACCAAAATTTCTTACCATCCCAAGCAGAATTGAGCAGTGACTCCCCATTTCTGCCTGCCCGCCACTTCTAATAGCCTCTTCCTGCGTGACTGCGTCTACTGAGGATACTTCATAGAAGCAGAATCCATAAGTGACCGTTGTGACAGACCTCCTCCCCTGAGTGTGATGTGTTTGAGGCTCACCCGTGCTGGAGCACGCAGCAGTGCTCCCTTCTTTTCTAAGGCAGAGTGGTACGCATGGTGTGGATGGGCCGTATTTGGTGTGCCCCTTCATATCCATGAATGGACACCTGCATTGTTGCCACCTCTCGGCTGCTGTGAATAGTGCTATTCGCACACGAAGGTGCAAGTCTCTGAGGCCAGCGTCCCTTCTTTTGGGCGTGGGGTGTAGACCAAGGAATAGGATTGCTGGGCCCATAGCAGCTCTACCATTAGCTTATTGAAGAGCCACCAAACCATTCTCCACAGTGACTGGATCGTCTTAAATGCCCAGCAACAATGCATAAGGGCTTCAATTCCTCTAGATTCTCCTAACACTTATTTTCTGGTTTTTGTTAATTTATAGCCATCCTATTGGATGTGAAATGGTGTCTCAGTGTGGTTTTGACTTCTATTTACCTCATGATTAGTGACGTTGAGGATATTTTCATGTGCTTATTGCCAGATTGTCTACTTACATGCCATAAGATTCAACTCGTGGGGCTCATGATGCGGTTTTGCCTGCGGGCACGTGTGCACATGTGGATTGGAAGGGTCGCGATACCTATTCATCCACAGAAGGTTTAGAGTTGCTTAGCACCTGCTCTGGGAGTCCTGAAGAGGCAGAGGGGCCAGCGGGAGTGGTCTTGGCTCCTCTTCAGGACTGGGTGTGCCTCTCAGCCCTTGGGGCTTTAGGGGCCGGGACAGAAGGCCCCACTCAGGTGCGTGTCTGTGATGTCTTGCACCAGGGTCCAGGTGTGGCGTCCTGGTGGCATCCCAGGATGTCTGCTTCGCCTTGCTTGCCAGGGTTCATCCTCAGCGTGTCTCCCTGATTTGTAACAAGGGTATAGGCAGAGACGAAGGGACCCTCCTCCACCCAAGAACAGGTCTGTCCGTTCATGTCAGGGCCAGCTGGGTGGGTCAGCACGTCGCAGCATGGGAGGTGGGGACCCAGAGCAGAACTGGGCTCTGCCAAGGGAGGAGAAGGCAGGGTGGTAGGTCAGCGCTCATGAGAGACCTGGCTGCAGGAAGTGAGGCCCAGAATGGATTCCAGTGAAAAACAACAGCACTGCCCTGACTGGGACAGTGTCTCAGCTTGCTTGAGACAGAGCAGGGGCAGTGAAGACAGTGGCTTCCTTGTATCGCAGATGAAATGGTTTTCCTCAAATTAGTGTAGAAACTACGTACTGACAGCTTTCTATAAACAGCATAACTGTGTATCAACCAGGAGCTTCCTATAAATGGCTTAGTTATGTCAAAGCTCCCTGTAGACAGCATAACTGTGTATCAGCGGGTCCCTGTAGACAGCATAACTGTGTATCGATGGGTCCCTGTAAACAGTGTAAGTATCAATAGCTCCCTGTAAATAGTATAACTGTATATCGATAGGTCCCTGTAGACAGCATAACTGTGTATCGATAGGTCCCTGTAAACAGCGTAACTGTGTATTGATGCATCCCTGTAAATAGTATAATTGTGTATCCATAGGTCCCTGTAAGTAGTCTAAGTATTGATAGGCGCTTGTAAATAGTATAAATGTGTATCAATAGCCCTCTGTAAATAGTACAACTTTGTATCGATAGCTCCCTGTAGACAGCATAACTGTATCGATGGGTCACTGTAAGTATTGATAGGTCCCTATAAATAGTATAACTCTGTATCGATAGCTCCCTGTTAAAGTATAACTGTGTATCACTGAATTCCTGTAAATAGTATAAGTGTGTATCGATAGCTTCCTATAAACAGTGTAACTTTGTATCGATAGCTCCCTATAAACAGTGTAACTGTGTATTGATGGGTCCCTGTAAACAGTGTAATTGAATCAATGGGTCCCTGTAAATAGTATAATTCTGTATGGATAGGTCCCTGTAAATAGTATAACTCTGTGTTGATAGCTCCCTGTAAATAGTATAATTTTGTATCAGTAGCTCCCTGTAAATAGCTCTCTGTATATAACTGCGGAATAGCTTCTATCTGTTGAGCTTAAAACATGAGTGTTTGGTGCCCTGACCCTAGGTGGTAAGAGTTTGCATTTCCACAGAAGACGGAGGAAGTCTTCAGCTGATTTCTTTCTCTTTGGTGCCGCCAAAGACAACAGTTTGTTTCTTTGGTGACGGGTTTTCGCAAAATTTGGGGCTGCAACTATTTCTTGTTACTTGATTTTCCAAAACAAGTGCACTCCACTGTTAAAACTATTTTTGTTTCCACTTCTTCCCAGTGGTATTTGGTTTGCTCTATACAATTTCCAGGGCTGATTGAGGTAGGATTTCAAATCCAGCCCGGCTGCCGCCCGCCACCTTTCACGCTGATGCTGTGTGACCACAAAGTTCCTTACCATAAGCGGCCAGGGAAGTCATGCGCCACCTTCCTGCGTCTGCATCAGCTCTCGGGCCCTCGTGGTCCTGGGCTCTGTGGATATTTGCTGGGACTTCAGGGGCTGGGCCACTTGCAGCCCAGGGCTGTGTCAGGATCCCACCACGCTCTGTGAAGAAGGTGAGGTCCTCACTGCTTTGTCACTTGTAGAAACATCTAGCAACTCCTGTGCCTGCTCAGTGCCAGGTCCCTGAGCTACATGGTGAGTGGCCGCCTGGAAGTAACTTCCTCTAAGTGCTTTGCCTGAATTGACCCATTTGGTCTGTGTGGTCCTCCCGGGCGGAGGAGACTGTGATGACCTCCATCTCACAGATGGGGAAGCAGGGCAGGAGACACAGAGCTCACCTAGGGACATGGGGCACAGAACATGGGCGGTGTAGCTCCTGGAATTCTCCCTCTGGAGCTCTGTCACCTCGGGTCTCCAGGACATGTCTGAGGACATGGAAAGGGGGTGTCCCAGCAAAGCGGGCCAAGGTAGCTTCCCCAGAAAGCCCCACCCCATCCTCCTGCGTGCACCATTCAAGTGGAAGAGTACCAGCTAGGGTTATGCCATGATCCATTGTCATATGTGTCCATGACAGCCCTCGGTTGCCCCGGGGTCACCCTTACCTTCAGGAACCCCTCTGCGTTATTGCAGGTGATAATGTTTCAGTTAGAAGCTGGAATTGTGTGTGCTCTTTGTAGTTTGGATAAAACACTTCGACCTATTGCCAAAGCACCTAGGACGCGTGACCTGCATGGGTGTCTGCGTGGGAGCCTGCCTGGGAAAGCCAGGCTCAGCAAGCTGGAGCTTGGCTGGCCCCACCTGCCCCACTGCTGGTGGCCCCGCAGGCGTCCAGGCCAGGTCTCAGGCATTTCTGAGCACGTGCCCTCTGCCAGCATCCTAGTGACGCATAAAAATGAGCAGGTCCTGCCCTAGCCCTCGCAGGGGACTGAGTCTCATGAGCTCCAAGGACTTCACTAGTGCTGAGGAATGATCGGTGTAGGGACAGAGGGGTGCATGCCAGAAGGAGAGTGTTCCCCCATCAGTTCTGGTGACTTTTTAGAGTCTGTGGGATTGGATGTTAAAACTCCAGACCCTGCGGGGTGGAGTCCTGCCTGAGTGAACTTGAGCAGGTATCAGAATCCTTGGGTCCAGTCAGAACATCTTGAAAATAGAAGCCTGTTGCTCTATCAGAGAAGGGTTACACTCTGTGGCTATTTTTGTTAGAACAGGTCTGAGATTTCTACCACGTCGGTAAAAAACATTCCATGTGTGGGTGCAGGGGAACGAGGTGCAGGGTGGCTTTGCTGGTTGTGGTGACCCTCCCCCCCCTTCCCGCTTCCCGCCTTTAGCCCCGTCTCCGACTGAAGGAAGAGGAGCAACAAAGGACAGCAGCTTGCCCGCCCGCTACACACCTAGTAAATACCATGGTGAATCTTCTCAGACGGAAAATAAAAATGTTACAGATTCAGTTGAAGCCCCTTGTGCTAATTTTTCTTTAACAGAATTTGGATACTCTATATTTGAAAAAAAGTTGGCTTGCTAATAAATATTGTGTTGATGCTATTAAAACTTTATTTTAAAAATGGGGCTTACTTAAAATGATGGAAGGTGCTTAAAATCCAAGGCCTTCGGTCAGCATGGGACAAAGTGGTGGTCTGCAGAGCAACTTTGCATGAGACAGTTATTTGCACTCAGGTGCTGGGCAGAGAGACCCCCTTGCCTCCCCCAGCCCTCACACGCTAAAGTCTGAAATGCTCGAGCTCAAGGGAGTGAATTTGAAAAAGGTGATTTCTTCCAACGGGCTGTGCCCAGAGCTGCTGTCGAGTCTTGGTGGATGGAATGAAGAGTCGGCTGAGGGGTGCATCGTTAGCATCTGCCGAGGGCAGGGTGCAGAAATAGAGGGCCACCTGATGAGAACTGGACATTTCTTTCATCCTTGACTGAACAAACTGAGGTGAAACGTTCCAAGTTAAAGGAGAGTGGAAAATTATCTTTCGTTTTCACGTGTTTCCCCCGGCTCTGTGTGCTGATCTAACAGATCGTATGCCTACGGGTTCTCCAGCCCAACACCCCGGGATCAGTAAACCTGACTCAAGAAAGTAAGAGTGCATTTCACTTTTTTTTTTTCCTTAATTGATGGATTTCCTGCTTAGTCAAACTGTTACTTGGCAACTCTGTTCAGTGCTCTTTTCCTGAACTGGGTGAAAGGGGTAATTTGTCTCATGATAATGGTGATCAGCAGGTTTCTTGAGGCTGGCAGAGGCCTGTCTATGTGGCTCGGGAGCTGCTGGGAGGCCAGCCCTCAGGCTCTCCCAGCTCAGAAGGGGAGACGCAAGAAGTCTCCAACCTGCAAAAGAGCCTGGATCTTGGGGGACGTCAGAGTGACTGTCCTGGGTGTGGGGCCCTCCTGTTGCCCCGACACGTGGGTAGGGTGTCATGGGTGAGCGCAGCCGGACGGGTTCCTGTGGGTCCCTACAGGTCCCTGACCCCCCAGCTGCTGGGACCACCTTCGTTAGGAGTCCTCCTGAGTGTCTGGTGCCAGGCTGGGTTGCAGTTGGATTGTGTCCATCGGGCTTTCGAGTGCCGCCAGCATGTGGTGTTGGCAGAGCTTCAAGTGTGGTGCTGCTTCGTACAGGTACTTTTTCAGTAAGAATGACCCTCAGGGGGCGCCTGGGTGGCTCAGTCGTTAAGCGCCTGCCTTTGGCTCAGGTTGTGGTCCCAGGGTCCTGGGATCGAGCCCCGCATCGGGCTCCCTGCTCCGCGGGAAGCCTGCTTCTCCCTCTCCCACTCCCCCTGCTTGTGTTCCCTTCTTACTATGTCTCTCTCTGTCAAATAAATAAATAAATGCCTTAAAAAAAAATAATGACCCTTGGGCCTCTCACAACATTAGCTTTGAGGCACCTTGATTCCTCAGCAACCCCTCGGGGCCCTAGGATCATGCATGAGGACGACATGGAAAGATTATTCTGTGCTAAGTCAGTCCTCGCTGTTGCGGGTGTCCGGTTGTTTCTAGGTACTTGGGCCTCTCTAATCGTGCATGTTTTTGTTGAAAGAATAGCTGAGATTCTCTGGGATCTTTAGTTGTGGTTTTGATTGTTAATTACATGCTTATGTCGTTAATAATAACCACCCTTTTATTTCATATTGTAACTTTTCATTTTAAAATAGTTTAACACAAGAAGTTGCAACAGTAGCAGGAGCCCGAGGGCCCTGCTCCCAGGCTTGTTTGCCTCCCACGGTCTGTGCTGTTTACACTGGCGGGCAGGTGAGTGAGCCAGGTGCCAGGGGCCTCCTGCGTGCAAGCACTGTGCCAGGTGCTTTCCCTGCTCGCCAGAAGCCAGTGGCACGTGTCCTGTTATTCTCTTTCCAGAAGGGAGAATAAGCTTTGGAGAAGGCATCAGGGCCAGGTTGCACTCTGCTTATCTAGCTGCCTTGCTGGAGCTGGGCTGAGCAGCCCACCCCAAGTCCAAGTGCCTAAACATGCACCCTAACCTGGGTGCTGCCTGGGGCACACTTCACCTGAAGTCCCTGCGAGTGTTTCCTCTCCCATTGGCAGCCCCAGCCAACAACAGACACACACCACCAGTGGTCGGCCCCCTTGCCCCTGGTGGGACAGCCGTGGTGTGGTGCCGTTGTGCTCCTGAGCCCCCCAGGATTCAGCCGAGCCACATCTTTGCTTGGCCTCTGCCCCATCCTGCTTCCCTCCCATGATGATTTAGGGTGCCTGGATTCCCACCTCAGGCTCTGCTCTCAGGGAGCTAGACCTTGAGCACCTGGTGTGTTTCTAAGCTCGTTTCTTCCCTGTGGTGGACAAAGTGGGCAGAGGCATGCACGTCACCTCAGGTCACCAGCAACAGAGCTGGGGGTGCCCTGCTGGCTTCCCCAGGAGGCCCTGGAGCTCCAGGACTGGAGGCCTTGGCGGTTTGGCGCTGCAGGCTGACATTTCCTGGTGGCTTGCCATCTGCTGTTTAAACACCCACGGCGAGAGTGCCCAGCCTGGCTGGGAGGGCCCCATGCAGAAGACTTCGCAGGCGCCCTGCGTTGCCCAGGGCAGCAGCGTGGCCCTGCGCTAGCCAGCAGAGGGTCAGGCTGCAGCCCAGGGATTGTGAGCTCTCTCTAGCAAGACGAGGTGGCCCTGACGTTTTCTCCAAGCCCGAGTGTGGACGGCAGAGCTGCTCTGGGACCTCAGGCTGGCGTCTGGCCCCCACGGGTGTGCACAGTGGGCCCAGCGCCACCCCGTGGTTAGCCTCCGCGTTCTTGGTGCCCGGCTGAAGCCTCCCCTTGCCTTTGCGTGTAGGTGCGGCAGGCGGTGACTTGTGTGGTGGGGGGCTGGCTGCTGGACCTGCGGGACCGCTATTCCTTCTTTCACAAGCTCATCCCGCTGTTGCTGAGCAGCCTTGAGGACGACATACCTGAAATTGCGTAAGTGCTGAAATCGTGCTGGTGGTGGCCGTGCTGGGGGGGACTGTCGGGCCTTCGGTTTTATGGGGCTCAGAAGCCTTAGCTATCGCAGATGTGGGTCCCTTTATTTTCTGGATTATCTGTCACTGAGAGCCGTGGTTGTTGCTCTGCTCCCACAGGGTCTCTCCCGGAAGCCCACCTTGTCCCCTTGTTCACAAAGAAGGTTTCCTTGGTTTTTAAATAGCCTTGTGTTTGTAGTGCTCAGGGCACACACGTAGAAATCGGTCATGGTCTCGTGCCATCAGCAAAGGGCTCAGGAGCCCGATGGAATTCCTGACCCCCGCGGGGAGAGACTCAGCGCCACGTCCGCAGGCCCCACCGGCTGCACAGGACCTGCCTGCCCTGACCCGTACATTGTGCTGCAGGCTCGCGGCCGCTGGCCTCTGGGAGAAGGTCGGCCTGCAGTGGCAGAGAGAGAATGAGGACGACCTCAAGGACAAGCTCGACTTCTCCACCCCCCCCCCAGCCCATCACCCCTCACCAGGTGAGTGCGAGGGGAGGGTCTCTGCCCGAGGAGAAAGGTGTGCCCCAGCGGCACTGCGGAGCCGCGTGGAGCCCGGGCTCAGGCAGCACGCCCCAGACAGGCGCTGCAGGCAGGAGGAGTACCCCAGCCTCCAGTGCCATTCAAGGCCATGAGCACGCCTCTGTGGTGCCCTGTCCTCCAGGCCAGCTTTATTCAAGGGAGCGTGTGGCCGCCGCGGACGCACTGGGCTGTGAGCATGGGCGGCTGCAGCTGCCGTAGGTGCAGCCCTTAGATTTGGGGTGAGGTGCGCACTCCGAACAGAGGCTCCCCCTCGTAGCCTTCCATCCTTCCCTCATGGTGGTTCCCTGCCGCGCCTCGAACACACGTGTGTCGTGTGTGCGTGTGTCTCCCGCGCACCTGAGTCCCATGTGAGCGGTGTTGGCGAGGAGCCCACCCGGCCCTCCCCCTCCTCTGCCCTGCGGACCCGCACACCTTTGTTTCTTTTGTTCTGGAAAACACTTTCTTGTGGAGACGAGGCATCTCCCGGTTGCCATCTATCTGCCGAGAGTCTCCGTAGAATAAAACGCTGATGAGGTTCACGCAGGCAGGGGCCAAAAGCGGTAAAGACGCACCCCGTCAGAGACCACAGCTGTGTGGGAGCCCGCGGCCCCAGTGCCCTGGCGCGGGCGCCGCACACCGCAAGGCCAGCGAGGAGACAAGCACTTGTAGGTTGTATTTGGTGTGATGTTGACTTTGAGGCCCCTCCTCCCTCTTAAGCCTGCGAGGGCAGTGACTGTGATTCTTCCTGCTCAGCGTGCCTTCTCAGGCAGCCTCGCCTCCTACACTGCACGGTTGGTCTGAGGGGAGATCACACATATTTTAGAAAAGGGACAAAAATTAGGTGCTAGCAGGGATTGTTCTCATTTAGTAAAGTCCGACAACATAACGTCTTTTTAGAAACATAGGCCTTAGACATAAAGGTTGCTGTGGTTTTATTTTTAAACCCGACCTCATTGCCTGTGAGGGAAGCGCAGTTCTGAAGGGGGTTCCTGCCCCACCTGTGTGTGCCCTCTGTCTGCCCAGAGGCAGCGTCTCGCTGATCGGCCCTGGCGGCAGCCTGTGCACTCTGCTTACTTATGGGCAGTCTCACCAAGGCTGGGATACGGTGACCGACCTCGGATGTGAGGTCCGGGACGGCTCCCTCCCTGGTCCTGGACAAAACCTGAGGCTCTCTGCTGATAGCACTCCACGAGTCACCGTGGCTCTTTGCCCACACGTGGTCTGCATACACAGGGCTGTCCTCCTGCTGCAGAGACATTTGTACCCGGTGCTGGCGTGGCCTTGGGTCTGCTCTCAGGTCACCCTGCAGAGTGGGGTGCAGGGGCACAGCAGGCTGGCAGCGAGGGATAGGCAGCCTCCAAAGGCTTGTTTCAGTCCAAGCAGAATGAATTTAGAATGAATTACAATCACGTTGGCAGGATCAGGGCGCCTGGGCGGCTCACTCGGTTGGGCATCCCTCTTGGTTTTGGCTCAGGTCATGATCTCAGTCACGGGGTCAAGACCCATGTTGGGCTCTCTGCTCAGTGGGGAGTCTGCTTGTTCCTCCCCTTCCCCTCCCCCCACTCACGCTTTCGCTCTCTCAAATAAATAAAACCTTTAAAAAAAAAGTTAGCAGGGTAAGCACTAGATTTTGTTAGATTGTGGACAATTTTCTCCTAAAATTACTTCTTTAAAATTGGAATTTTATTTATTTATTTTTTTAAAGATTTTATTTATTTATCTGTGAGAGAGAGAGAGCGAGAGCAGGAACACAAGCAGCAGGAGTGGGAGAGGGAGACGCAGGCTTCCCACCGAGGAGGGAGCCTGATGTGGGACTCGATCCCGGGACCCCGGGATCATGACCTGAGCTGAAGGCAGACGCTTAACGACTGAGCCACCCAGGTGCCCTAAAATTGGAATTTTAAAATCTAAGTTTTCAGATTCTTTTTACACCATTTCACACGTCAGATTTCATCAGCCACTTCCTCGGAACCTTGCCACTGGCCACCTGCTTCTGCACACACACGGCCCCCCTGCCGCCCCCGGCTCAGCCCCCGGCCTCCCCTTGGGTCCTACGCTGTCCCCCACGCCTCGGCCACACCACAGCCCCGTGAGATAATCCCTGTCAGTACCCTCACCCTTCGAAGGTCGAATCTGACAAGCACATCGCTGCATGACCACCACGCGGTAGGATCCGGGGCATTCTGTCAGCCCCCGACCGTGCCCGGCCCCTGCTGCCGGCACTCCCTTCCCTCTGTGTGGTTGTCTCCCAGGACGTCGTCACTCACACGGTGCAGGCCGCCCACAGCCTGTCTGACTTCCAGCATTCAGCCCCTGAGGCTTGTCCGGGGGCCTGCCTTCCTGCTGTGGGGAGCATTCCCTTCCGTGGATGCACGTGGCTTACCTCGGGCCGGGTAGGCCTGGGGAAAGGACGTTTGGGTCATTTCCGGGTTTTGGTGATTTCGAACAAGGGTGATCTAAGCACTTGTGTACGGTCTTTGTGTGAACTCAGTTCACTCTTTGGGTTAAGCCCCGGGGAGTGGGACTGCTGTGAACTGGGAGCTGCCTTTCTCCTGCTCTGTGGCCGGCTGCACGTTTGTGTCCCACCTGCAGGGGGCGGGGTTCCTGTCGGTCCCCATCCGCACACTCAGTGGCACTGGGCCTGGCGTGTATGTTATGTGCTCACGTCATGTGCTTGTCCACATCCCTTCCTCCGTCAAGCGTCTATTCAGACTTTTGTCCACGTTAAATTGGGTTGTTATCTTATGATGGAGTTTTGAGAATTCGTCATCCGTTCTGGGTACGACCCTCTGTTGGATCTGTGTTCTGTGACACTTCTCTTTGGATGGGTTCCCTCTGACGTCCCCAGCTTACTGGCAGCCGGTGGCCCTGGCGGGACCTTTCCCCCACCCCCGCTCCCTGTGACTGACGTGGCCGATGACTCCCCTCCTGTTTCACGTGCCCCGCTCCCTGTCCTGATAGCACACTTCTCTAAGTGTGGACGGACAGACTTAATGAGGTGCACAGCTCACTGCTGCGGGGCCCGTGTCCTGTCCAGTCTGGGCTTGGTCCAAACACTGGGCCAGAGTCTTACAGAGCCCCGTGTCTGCTTTGCTGAGAAAACAAGGTGCACGTAGCACAGACCATCATCTGTCATCACGCTGTGTGCCATTTGACAAACACAAGTTTCCTGTTCCAAAATGGAAATGAAGGTCCACTTTTAAAACCCAGCTATGTGTTGGGAAGATTGGAAGGGCGTCATTTACTGTCCCCGAGTCAGTCATTCCCTGAACAAAGTGCTCTTCTGGGGCAGAAGGGCAAGTTCATGCTTGGAGAGGATCTGCCCATCTGTTGCTGCCTGAACCGCCAGCAGCAGGATCAGGTGGTGACAGTGGGTTCCGGAGTCCTTTCTAAAAGCTGGAAATTAGCCTCCTGTTTAAAACTGTTTTCCTTGGTGATGCTTGAGTGAACAGGGAAGCACCTCTTCATAATGATGAATGGCTTGCCAGATCTGACGCAAGAGAATAGAGTTGGTTTTTTCCCCCCATTTTAGGAATCAGTGGAGTTCCGTTTGAATAACTACCATTGTAATGTAGATCGCGTTCTTATGCCCTTCAGGGTTTTCATGTTTTCTTGAGAGCTCAGACCTGCTCTGCTTGTCTGTTTCATCCAGGTATTTGGAGAGGTGGAAGTTGTCAGAAAAGGTACATTGTGCAGAGGAGAGATGGGGGGGCGGGTTTGCTCTGGGGGGACCAAGTGAGGGTCTGTGGCATGGAATATTACCCACTTGAGCTAGCCTCAGGTACTAGGGAGCAGCGTAGCTCCCTGTTTGGTGCTATAGGAGAAGGGTGGGTTCCCACCACTCAGAGGCTGCAGGCAAATCTGGTTTTCCCCTTATCAAGTGTTGAGGCACCCAGGCCCAAAGGGGGTAGCAGCTTGTCAGGACCTGCACCCAACTGATCCAGGTTCAGGTTCACACAGGTTCACGCAGCTTCAGGTTCTCCTTGGTGACCCTCCCTTACACTCTTCCCGATGTCCCCTGCCTCCTGCACTGAGGGGTCTCCCATTTCTTCAAGGAGGTCAGTCTCTTGTCGTTTCTGAGATACCTCTGCTTCGCAAACACCTGGAGCCTTGTGCAGAACACCCAGTGTCATCCTGCCTATTTGTGGTGGTTTATAAATACATAGTACAGGGTAGGTCTGCCGTCTGAGTTAGATAAACTTGGTAAAAACAAAACTGATCATCTGTTTTTCTCGTTGCAATTAAATTACACTTTGTCTAACTGTTCAAAAACCAAGCCGATTTAATGTTCCATATGCTTCTGGCCCAGCTTAGTCAGGGTTTGGTATTGACCTCTCCTTGAGTTAAAACTCCAGTATGGTGGGGGGCGCTCTGCCCATTTGCAGACCACATCCCTCCCCTGAAATCAGGACTCATGTCAGGCTGCTGCTGTCTGCACCCGGGATGTCACCCCCAGGCCCAGCAACCCCCAGGCAGGGCTCACGCTCCTCATGACGGCAGGTGCTGTGCAGAGCTCTTTCGGGGGGTTCAGGCCTGCCTCATGGGCACCCGCCCAGATCAGTGATAAAGCCCCAGCTGAGCTGATCGGGGAAAAATGACCTTGGGAAGAATCGGGCACCTGAGGGGAAGACAAAGCTCACCTGGGCTTTGAGTGAGGGTTTGAACTCTGACCCTCAGACCTGAGAGGTCAGTTCCCAGAGCCTCTCTGCCTCCTGTGTATACAGACTTGAGTTTTGACACCCACCTGGCTTTCACTTTCCTTCCCAACCCACCTTTACAAACGGCATCCCCTCCTTAGGTGACGCAGGATTGTCATGTTGCTCCTGACCTTCACCATTGGTTTCTGCGAAAGTTAAGCAATTTTTTGTTGCCATCGTATTTAATTTTGTTTCAATTATGAAAACAAATTGGCTTTACGCGTATTTGCGTCTGGTCTGCTTGTTGTAAGGTTGAGCAAGCCTCGTAACCGCGGCTGGTTCTGTGGGGCTGAGCCAGTACACCAAGCCATCTGCCCGCCCCTCTGCTCCTTGTCCACCTGAGCTGTCTTTGCATGCTTGCTGCTTGCGGAAGTACTGCAATTATGTTTTCAAAGAAAAGATTAGTAGATAGTGGCTGAGTTGTAGTCTGGACTCTGGACATAAGAAGTTAATCATCGCTCAGGCCTCCGGCGCTTCCTGGGATTCCAGGACAAACAGAAACACTGACCTTGCGTTGTTTCCTAAAATCAACAGTAATTACATATGGAAAGAGAACCCTCACACATTGCTGGTGGAAAGACAAAACGATGCAGCCTCTTTAGAAAAGAGTTTGGGAGCTTCTTGAAGTGTTAAACATGCACTCTCCGTGTGATCCCGTGACCCAGCTGTCCCACCCCAGGTAAACATTCAACAGAGATGAAAACCGCCCCCCCCCAAGGCGTGTGCATGCATGTTCACAGCAGCATCATTCACAGAGCCCCAGAGTGGGAACAACCCAAGGTCCAGCAGCTGGAGCCTGGATCAACAAGTGTGTCTGTCCATGTGCCGTGCTGCAGGGCTCAGCCGTGAATAGGAATGAATTTGGACGCATGCTGCAACATGAATGAAGCTCAGAAACATCATATTTAGTGAAAAAGCTCATTCATATGAGATCTCTAGGAAAGATGGAACTGTAGGCAGGGAAGGCAGACCCGTGGCTCCTTGGGGGCAGGTGAGTGGTTGACCACGAGCAGCACGGCGCCCTGGTCGAGCTGGGAGTGTTCTGAGACTGCGTGTGCATCGACTCAGCTCACGGGGTTGAGAGTAGCTTCGACGACACATAGGTCACACCTCAGTAAAGCTGTTTCTAAGAAACTCACAGAGGCTGTGTCCGTGTTAGCGGTCTGTTAGTGTTCAGTGAGCATTTCCTGGGGGCTCCCCACCCACGGTGCAGAAGACAGCAATTCGATGGCCCCTTCCCCTGCCTGGGACTCAGTCTCCAGGGATAGCCCTACAGTGATGGGCCTTGGAGCCACCGCACCCTCAGGGTGCAGGTGCCAGTGAGTCCCACTGCCCGGGAAGAAGGGCACCCTGACAGCAGGCTGCCGGAGGGGTGGTGGTTTTGGGTCACGTCTGGGTTGAGCATCTTGAATGTAGGAGCTGCTGAGGATAGGGCCGGGTCTGGGGCTACCCTGGCCACAGGCCATGGCTCGCCCGAGGTCTGTCTCGGGGTACAAGTCTCTGTGCTTGGCCACCTAAAGCTCTCCCAGGATTAGGAATTGCTGCCATGGCTCGTGTGTGCAAGGGTCATAGCTGTTGACAGTGCAGAAGCTGCCTGTGTCCCTGGGCCTGGCGAGCACCCCATGTACCACGAAGACCTGCCATCACCAGAGCTGAGCCACATGTGATGTGGGGAGAGTGATGGGAACAGCCAGGCCCAGAGGCATGTGCCCTTGTGTCTGGACGCAGCAGCCGTAGGAGTGGTGTATCCACCCTGGGGAGCGCAGTCACTGTGGGCAGGGTGGGATCCCTGGGCAGCTTAGCTCTTTATTCTCTTTGGAACTATTTGGTTGGTTGGTTGTTTTTTAACTTTGGTTTTGCATTACTTTTTTGGAAAGAAAAACAGAAAAATATCTCTCTTAAGCAGTGCTGAGTTCATAGCCTCCTTGTGGGCAAATAAATACGTGGAGGTAGACGTAGGTAGATGGGACGGGCTTCCTGCATGTCAGAACACTGAGCATGGCCTCTGACCGTTTGTAGGACTTGTTCAAGTTATCAGAAATATGCAAGCAGATGTAGTACGAAGATGTTCATCATAGTGTTAATTATAACGAGAGTCCATAGATTATAAAGCTCTGTTCTCTTAGCTACTTAAAATCATACCCTGGATTCTCGAGTATTCTTTTGGTGAGTGCTGAACGAGAACGGTGACGGGAACGTTCTGTTTGCCATCGGGACAGTACTACTGAGCACTTCGTGGGACCGAGAGGACCGAGAAACTAAATTGTTATTTATTTAAGCTTGATGAACTTCAGCCATGTGTGGCTAGCAGCTACCGTGCTGGCAAGTTCAACTCTGGCATCTAGAATGGGGTGGGGGGCCCACTTTTCCTGTAAAGGACCGTACGGTCGGTGTGTCCGATGTAGGGCCACATGTGTGTGTCACAGCGGTTTCGCCTGCTGGGGTGACGTCCCCACGGCCCTGGACAACAGTAACTGAGCAGGCATGGCTGCATCCCACTGCCACTTGATTCCCAGAAACAGACAGCAAGCCACATGTGGCTTCAGAATATTGTCATTTCCACTCCATTACGTAACACGGAACAGTGGGCTTTAGAACACACACGTAGTGAGGCCCCGTGTTTCTTTGCAGTTACCGCGTAGGTCCTCATGTCCCCAGGCTTGTGCCACCAGCCGCCCTGTTTCATGTCCCCTCGTCCAACAGACTTACCACGGTGGATACGCCATCAGGAGCATAGTATCGTTTGCTTGTTCGTTAACAAGCGCATGTAAACAGCCAACATAGAATCATTGGAACTAATTTTCTAACATAGCATAAAAATAGAAAAGTTAACAGGGAAAAAAATGAAAATGGGGTCTCATGGTAAAACTGGTGCTTACTAAAACACCCTCTAAACTCTGACCTGTCATGATTTCATCATCTTTAGGGTCTTTTAATTAAGAACTTCTTACTAAGTTTTTATTTTAATTCCGGTGAGTTAACATACAGTGTTCTTTTAGATTCAGTGTATAATAGAGTGACTCCACACTTGCCTGCATCACCCAGTGCTCATCATCAAATGCACTCCTTAATCCCCGTCGGAGGCAGTCACCCATCCCATCTCCCACCTCCCTTCTGGTCACCGTCACTTTGTTCTCTAGAGTTAAGAGTATGGCTGAATAATATTCTAGTGTGTGTGTGCAAGTATGTGTGTATACATTGCATCTTCTTTGTCCATTCATCAGTCAGTGGACACTTGGGCTGCTTCCATAGTTTGGCTATTGTAGATAATGCTGCTATAAACATAGGGGTGCATGTCTCCCTTTGAATTAGTATTTTTGTGGGGTTTCTTGGTAAATACCTAGTAGTGCAATTGCTGGATTGTAGGGTATTTCTATTTTTAATTTTTGAGGAACCTCCATACTGTTCGCAGTTTGCGTTCCCAGCAACAGTGCATGGGGGTTCCTTTTTCTCCGTATCCTCGCTGATAGCCACTGTTGCTTGTGTTGTTGATTTTAGCCATTCTGACAGATGTGAGATGGTACCTCATCATGGTTTTGATTTGCGTTTCCCTGATGATGAGTGATGTTGAGCATCTTTTCATGTATCTGTTGGCCATCTGGTTGTCTTCTTTGGAGAAATGTCTGTTCATCTCCTCTGTCCATTTTCTTATTGGATTATTTACTTCTTGGGTGTTCAGTTGTATCAGTTCTTTATGTATTTTGGATACTAACCCTTTATCAGAAATGTGATTTGAAAATATCTTCTCCCATTCAGTAGGTTGCCTTCTAGTTTTGTTGATTGATTTCTTGGCCATGCAGAAGCTTTCTATTTTGGGGCACCCAGGTGGCTCAGTTGGTTAAGTGTCTGCCTTCGGCTCAGGTCATGACCCCAGGGTCGTGGGATCAAGCCCGACATTGGGCTCCCTGCTCGGCGGGGAGCCTGCTTCTCCCTCTCCCTCCTCCTGCTGCTGCCCCTGCTTGTGCTCTCTCTCTCTCTCTCTCTGTCAAATAAATAAAATCTTTAAAAAAAAAAAAAAAAGAAGAAGAAGAAGAAGAAGCTTTCTATTTTGATGTAGTCCCAATAGTCTATTTTTGCTTTTGTTTCCCTTGCCTCAGGAGACAGATCTAGAAACATGTTGCTGCAGCCATTGTCAGACATTACTGCCTGTGTTTTCCTCTAGGATTTTTATAGTTTCAGGTCTCACGTTTAGGTCTTTCATCCATTTTCAGCGTGTTTTTGTGGATGGTGTAATAAACTGGTCCAGTTTCATTCTTCTTAATGTTGCTGTCCAGTTCTCCCAACACCATTTGTTGAAGAGACTGTCCTTTCCCCATTGGCTCTTCTTTCCTGTTTTGTCAAAGCTGAATTGACCATAGAGTTGTGGGTTCATTTCTGGCTTTTCTGTTCATCT